ATAATAATAATAATAATAATAATAATAATAATAATAATAATAATAATAATAATAATAATAATAATAATAATAATAATAATAATAATAATAATAAAGCTTTTCTGGCCAACCAGGGCTGCCAAGAAAAGGAGAAGAGAGTCACCACTGGCCAACAGCCAAGGTGGCTGCCAAGAATGCCCAGATATTATATCACAGTGTTTTTGTTACACCACAGGGCCAGAATACCTGAAGAAAGCCACGGACCACAGGACCCTGCCTCAGTTTCGGAACTGTCCATGGAGGCCTCTTGCATGCCCCCCCGGCCCCCCGATGAGTACACAAGGCCGGCTCTTCTTCGTAGCGACACCCTGACTGTGTAAACTGCAAGGGGAGCCTTGTGTGTGTGTGTGTGTCCTACCTTACTAACCCTCGAAACAAAGGGTTCACCTGGCCCTTCGTACAGTACAACTCTCTGGTGATAAGTCAGGTAGTTCTGTTTCTCTTAACTTCAGGCAAAGGTTTGCTTACTTATCTAAATCCTTTTGGGTGTTCCTTGAAAACCGATTTCAGGTTTACAAAAGAAGAAGAAAATCATCGTCTTTTCAATGGAAGACCAAAGTTTGCAACTTAAACACCTTGATCATCTGGTCTCGTTTTTTGATCGGGTCACCTCCCTGATAGACGGAGGGAATGCTGTAGACGCAATATATCTTGACTACAGCAAAGGTTTTGACCAAGTGCCCCATTAGATCCTGATTAGCAAGCTAACGAGGTGTGGGCTGGATAGATCAAGGCTCAGGTGGATCCACCGTTGGCTACAGAATCGTACTCACAGGATGAGGATGAATGGCTTATTCTCAAACTGGAAGGAGGTCACTATGATTAATGGATCCTTTTCTAACTGGGAGGAGGTAATAAGTGGGGTACCTCAAGGCTCAGTCTTGGGCCTGGTGCTCTTCAACACTTTTATTAATGACTTGGATGAGAGAGTGCACAGAGTGCTTGTCAAATTTGCAGATGATACAAAAATGGATGGAATAACTAATACCTTAGAAGACAGAAACAAAATTCAAAATGACCTTGATAGGATGGAGCACTGGGTCAGAAGCAACAGAATGAAATTCAACAGGGATAAGTGCAAAGTACTGCACCTTGGAAAAAGAAACCAATTGCACAGTTACAAGGTGGGGGATACCTGGCTTAGCAAAACTACGAGCGAGAAGGATCTTGGAATTGTCAAAGATCACAAGCTGAATATGAGCCAAGAGTGTGATGTGGCTATTAAAAAAAAAGGCTAATGCTATTTTAGGCCTGCATTAACAGAAGTATAGTCTCCAGATCCTGTGAAGTATTAGGCCCCCTCTTCTTGACACTGGTTAGGCCTCATGTTGAGTTCTGTGTCCAGTTCTGGATACTGTCCTTCAAGAAGGACGATGACAAATTGGAAAAAGTTCAGAGGAGAGCATTGGGAGGATCAAGGGGCTGGAAACCAAGCCCTGTGAGGAAAGACTGAAAGAACGGGGCATGTTTAGCCTGGAGAAAAGAAGACAGAGGGGAGATGGGATGGCACTTTTCAAATACTTAAAAGGCTGTCGTCCAGAGGAAGGGCAGGATCTGTTCTGAAACGTCCCAGAGAGCAGGACACGTAACAATGGGCTCAAGTTAAAGGAAACCAGATTTAGGCTGAATATCAGGAAAAACTTCCTAACTGTTAGAGAAGTATGACAAGGGAACCCCTGACCTCGGGAGCGGGTGAACGCTCCAATCCTGGAGGCATTCAAGAAAAACTCAGATCATCCCCTGGCAGATCTGCTTGGATGGTATTCCTGCCTTGAGCACGGGGTTGGACTGGATGGCCTTAAGAAACCCCCTTCCGACTCCATGATTCTATGATTGTATAATATTAGAAACAGAAAGAGGCGTACTCCCTCTTGCTTCATGGAGAAAACAATATGCCTGCAATTTTGGATAAAACATCAAGTAGGTACAGGTTGCTGGCCTCTGAAGATGCCCATGGCCACAGAGACTGGCGAAACATCAGGAAGAACAACCTTCAGAACATGGCCAAAGAGCCCGAAAAACCCACAACAACCATCAAGTAGGTATCGATCACAACAAGATCTAAGAAAAACAGTACAGTCTGTGTGCAGACTGGCAAATCAGCACCTGAGCAACACATGGGAAATATGAATGGCTGCCTTCAACATCTTTTCAGCGGTTAATCCGCTGTTTTGAATTCTGCATATGAGCCCAATATCAGCAGATCCAGTCATGGAGACGTTTGTATTCAACTTGCAATGTTACATCTTCTGTACCTTCTCATGTGCAACTGATTTTCTGTTTTCTATTTTATTCTCTCGCCCCAAGGAAGGTGTCAGGCCAAGGAGGCTAAAAGAGGTTGGCTACCTTAATAATAAATATGTACACTTCGTTTTATTCTCTTTTGTTTTCTGTCAGTCCTCACCCCTACCTGAACTGCTCTGCCCTTCTCCCCTGCTGTAGTCGCAAATCACGGAGCGGTTGGGACTCCGGACCCCCAGGCGGGGCTCCATCTCGGGCAAGGAGGAAGGCTGGCCGTTGGTGTCGATGTAGATGCTGAGGGGGCCGACCCCAGGCTGCATGGGCAGGAAGGACGGCTTCGATGCTCCCGGGAAGAAAATCTCTGCAAGACAAGATGCAACGCGGCTTTAGGCAAAGCACGTCTCGAACCTGCCCCACCTGTGACAAGAGAGGAAGGCAAGGCGGTTTCGAAACAGGGCAGTGGATCTAGAGAACTGGGGGGGAAAAAGGATGGCCAGATCTTCCCCCTTTCCATCCACGATCTAGGACACTCAACAATGAATTCATACTTCTGTCCACCTGAACCTTTCCCATCATGATGACGACAACGGCAGTTCCCAAAGGAAGGGGTGGGGAATGCAGACACGGCACGGGGGCCACTGGATGATTTGGGTCCACTGCAGCCACATGGGACGGAGGATTCTGGGAGTTGTAGCCCAAAAGGTGATCCACCCTTCCAAGCTCTAAAGAGGGTCAGATAGATGATCTCCGAAGCCCCGTCCCACTCTTATGATTTTATGCCTGAGAGCCTTTCTACGACTCAAGAAGATTTCAAGTCACAATGGTCCTCCGGTCTAGAAAGGCACCTATTCCATCATCCACACCTTGAGTGGTATCCTTCACACAGCCCTCTTAACACCGTTCGTCAGCACCCACTACGGCCACCCCGCCGCGACAGGTCTCCTTCAAAGCCACCTCCACTCACCTGGATCCAAGACAATCTCAGGCTCGGAGTCGTGCGTGGGCTGCAGGAACGTGGAAGCCACCATCTTCTCCAGCGGGGTGAGCCTGGGTTTGTGAGGGGGCCCTGGCCGATGGAGTGGTGGAGGCTTCTTGGCCGTGATCTTCTTCTTGACGTCTAACCTCAGGTCTCTCCATTTGTGTTTCAGGTCGTCGATGGAGCGTTCTGTGTAGCCGAGGAAGTTAACGCGGCTCTGGATTTGGGTCCAGAGCTGTTTCCGCCGGACGGGATGGGCCCGGAACGACTCGGAACCATACAGGGCGCTGAAATGCCGGACTACATTCCAGACCAGCGTCTCCGTCTCGTCGTTGGAGAAGTTGGCTTTCCTTTTCCGACCGGTTGCATTTGCCTGGGAGACCCCCGACGACGTGGAAGGGAGGGAGTCAAACCGAAGTCCCCATTTGTCTCTTTCGGCTGCGGAGGAAAACATTGGCGCCCCCCGACCCCGACGGAAGCCCAGGCCAGAACGGCTGATAATCCAGAACGGCTGATAATTGAGCACGACGACAGGGCGACAGGACACACGTCAAGATCTCCCCTCCTGCAAGACTGGCTGGATTGTGTCAGTCGCGCTGTCCGAGGAAGGGTTACGATGCTGCCCGAGAGTCGCACAGCTTCATCCTGAGAATACCTGCAAAGAAAGGCAATGAAATAAAATCAGGATAATCTTGAACGCACGTGGAGGTATTTCCAAACCTGTCCGGTCTTCCCTTCTGAACAGCCACTGAAACACCACATCACACCTTAGCCATGGGAGGAAAAAGCCTGGAAGTGGAGGGGTTTGAGAACATAAAACTGTTCTCTGTGACATCTCAGTTCAGCCATAATCCCTCGTCAAGAAAGGCTCTTCATTTCACCCAATTCAAACCTCTTGGCAAGAGGACCGAGGGCAGGGTGACTGAGAGAAGGCACCTTCGACCTCATTTGACTCATTGAGGGGGTCGGCAACCTCAGGCCCGGATGCCAAGTTCAGCCCACCTATCGACCCGATCCCTAGAAGGCCACGCTCCCTTCTCTGGGACACCCTCGTTGGCTGCCTTCCTTGCCTTTTCCGCACTCTAAAAAGCTGAAACGCTTTCCCTAAGGCTTGGTTACTGGAAACAAGAGCTTTACGCCTATAATCGCCCCATCTCATCTGTTGGCCTCTGGTCCTATCCAGCACTGGAATGTGGCTGCCGATAACAGCGATGGCTGATTCCTTGTTGTTACAAGGATCCGCCATAGGCCTTCGGCCTTGAATTCTCTGCCTCTTCGAAGCTCCGTATCTTATCTTAAGGAAATATCTAGGAGACACCCGAGGAACAAGAAGATGAACAGGGAAGCCCAAGGAGTCTTGTTAAGAATCAGAACAGTCACTCCCGGAGACCTTCCTAAAACGAAAGACAAGAAAATAGGACCTTTTTGGAAACACCCAAGTAGTTCAAAACATCTGGCCTTGAACCCTCCCAGCGACTCATAAGGGTCCAGCAACTGCTTGAGCCATTGGAAAAGCCGCCAATGAGTAATGAGGCAGAAGACTCATCTGGGACCAAGTACGGCTGACCTCCTATGGGCCCCAGCGACTCATAAGGGTCCAGCAACTGCCTGAGCCATTGGAAAAGCCACCAATGAGTAATGAGGCAGAAGACTCGTCTGGGACCAAGTACGGCTGACCTCCTAAAGTACTTGAGAGGAGAGCAATGACAAACCTCGACAGCATCTTAAAAAGCAAAGACATCACCTTGCTGACAAAGGTCCGCATAGCCAAAGCTATGGCTTTTCCAGTAGCGAGCAATGTATGGAAGTGGGAGTTGGACCATAAAGAAGGCTGTCCGCCGAAGAATGGATGCTTTTGAATTGTGGTGCTGGAGGACGCTCTTGAGAGTCCCCTGGACTGCAAGGAGAACAAACCTATCCGTTCTGAAGGAAATCAACCCTGAGTGCTCCCTGGAAGGACAGATCCTGAAGCTGAGGCTCCAATCCTTTGGCCATCTCATGAGAAGAGAAGGCTCCCTGGAAAAAACCCTGATGTTGGGAAAGTTGAAGGCAAGAGGAGAGAAGGGGACGACAGAGTACGAGATGGTTGGACATCGAAGTGAACAACGTGAATTTGACCCAACTCTGAGAGACGGTGGAAGACGGGAGGGCCTGGCATGCTCTGGTCCATGAGGTCATGAAGAGTTGGACACGACTAAACGACTAAACAAAGAGTCGGACACGACTAAACGACTAAGCAACAACAACATGGGCAAAATAACACGGCCTTCTGCAACTATTTCTGGCAAGTCTGGTGATGTTCAAGGGGCTTTTCAGAAACCCCAACAAACACTGTGTTTCTCTGTTTGTTTTATTTATATGCCGCCATTCTCCCGACAAGAGGACTCAACCGCTTTTGGGGTGGGAGGGAAAAAGCATCCCCCACAACAGGAAGGAAGGGAAGGAGTGTCAACTTCCAACTCTTCAGATGGCTTTGATGACACCAAGGAATTGCATTTAACCAGACTTCAAGATGATGGCCTGCAAAGGATACGCTTTCTTCTCTCTCTCCTGACACTGACTACCCGACACAGCCTTTCTGCTGTTTGTTCTCTGCTTGGATAAGGAACAAAGTATTAAACACTTACGAGCAGCTTTGCAAACAGTCAGTAGAGTTAACCGTTTGGCAATCACGTACGGCTCCTGGACTAAGGGAGGCCCATTTACTGCAATTAAAACCGACGGCAGCAAGCCCGAAAACCTTATTGCAGCCCCAGAAAATGCGCAAAAAAACAGTGTAAGCCTACGGAACAGGGTTTATGGTTTGGACTCTTCGCCCCCCCCCCAGTGCAACCACCCCATAAAGCATTACAGACATCCTCAGCCAGTGTGCTTTCCCGGTGTATAGGATTTGTTGTCTTCCACATCAGGAAGGGGAATGCAATCTGGGGAGGTTTGATCAGGTCTTCTATTTGCTCTGGCTGAGTAAACAGAGGACCCGATGACACTCTTTGCTAGATCTCTCCCCTAGAAGACTTTTCAATGGTTGATGTCAGATAACAGAGCTTCGGCCCAAACTCAGCCGTTTTGCAGCCTGGAAGCACGGAAAATCGTTTTCTAGTTGCATCGTGAAGCCCGTTTGTTGCTGCTGTTGTTGTTGCTTAAACGTGTTACAGATATGGGCAAAGAAAAACCGGGGAACACAATGATGGGACTTCTTGAGCCTTTGCCGTTCTAACCATGTTCTTCTTGGGGGTCGTTCAAGCACATGACGCGGAAGCCCCATCGGCGGCAAAGGGTTTTCGTCACAAATCTCCCTCTGGAGAAATCCCCCTCTGTGAGCCATTGCTGACACGCATGTAAAACTGCGCCTAACGACCTGGCAACGCATGTGCTGGAGAACTTTAGGGGGGATTCTTTCTGTTGGGGACACCAAGCACCCCTTTATCCGCGGCCAGGATACATGACCTGGCATTAGAGCCACTTCCAGACGAGTAAACAGGCCACTGGAGTAATGGAATGTTTTGGCCCTGGCTGGAACACTCAGTGGTTTGGGTCTGTGGCTAGGGAGCGAGAGGTTGGGAATTCGAATCCTCCATGGTGTCTTCTGGGAGAAGAGCCAACCTGGGTGGCCTTGGGTCAGCTGCACCCTCCCACAGCGCCCCCAGTGGAAGGGAAGGGGTAATGCACTTTTGAGTCTTCTCTACCTGGGAAACCCTGGAAAGGGTCGCTATAAGTCAGAACAGACTTGAGGGCTCGCGGTTATTGACCCCGGTGTGAAGATCCAGCCTGGGACAGCCAGTAAGCGTTTAAATACAAGACTGACTTAACCCAAGCTGGCGCCGTCCACATGAGCTGGTGTGCAACACCCATCGTCCTTCTGCACAATGTCAATTCATTCTAGCTGGGGATGATAGGAGCTGTCGCTCGAGGCATCCAGGGGCTTCTAGATGGGGGAAAGCTGCTCTAAAGCAAACAAAATCACAAGAACAAGGAATACATTTGACCTCAACTCTTATGGGGTGATTTTACATTTTAGATATTTTCCACTCAATGCCTACTCCATATTGGTGCACAGATAACACAACAGTTCAAAGGGAACCGGAAGGGAAGGGCAGCTGATTTAATACCCGTTTGAAATCTAGCGACGGTTGGCTAGAAAGACTTTCCTCTTTTTAAGAAAATTTTGGGTGCTGCGAATGTGCGGCCAGGGGGGGGGAAGTGCCTCCTAAAGACAACTCAAAAGGAAGTCCTGGTGGAGAAAATTTTAAAAGGCTGGGGCTCCTCCCAGGGACACCCCCCCAAATGCAGAGAGAGCTGGGTTCCACCTCATCTCCACTCGGGGAAGGGGGGGTTCTTTTGTAAAGCCAACAGCTCTTTACTCCCCACGCAAGACCCAGGCTTCCTGTAATGGTTTGGGGTGCAATGCAAAGCTCATTTCAACCCCCCAAAAAAGTGGGGGTGGGAAGAAGGGGGGGAGGAAGGCAGATGCGCCTTGCTAAGCATAAAACCCCAGTGGTTAGGCATTGCTCCCCCCCA